TGAATTCAAATTCTAAAAGAACAAGTCCTCTGTTTTTACATTTTATACACACGATGTCTGTATCAGGTCCATCATTTGAGTAATTCGACACCGAAAAATTCCAAAATCAAGGAAATTGCTGAGTCAGCAAAAAAGGAAAAACATGTATATATACCCATATCTATCATACAAATATCTTAAATCTTACTTCTATGTTTTTTATTGTGAAAGCACTTAAGATGTTTATCTTAAGAATAAAAGCAATAAAAAAGAAATTTCTCTATTAATTACATTTAATTAGCACCCCAAAGATAAGGAATTTTTTCGTCCATCCAAGCTGAAAATTGGCTGGTTGCTAAGGAAATTTCTTTACCCACGTTTCCATAGTAACCATAAACCAAAACATTTTTTATTTTACATACATGGTTCATACTGCAAGGGAAATCTATGTGTGGAAAATCATCAAATTCTGAGAACCCTCATATATCACTTTTTGCCTATTTTGCATGATTTTTACACGGAGCTGTACTTAATTATCTATATAGCGTTATGCACGTGATACAGTAACTGTTTTTAATAGAGATAGAGACTGCATATTTGGTATGTATACTGACTATACCCCAATGATTAAGTTCTTTCAAATAACACCAAGGTCAATGACCTTAAGACCCTGCATGACTGTGACCTATATATGCTTAAAATAGCTTTTTCGAACTTTCGCCATAACTTTTGAACCATAAGAGATAGAGACTTCATATTTGGTATGCATACTCCACTAATTAAGTTCTTGCACATGACACCAAGGTCAATGACTTTGACTGTGACCTATCAAACTTTGTTGCCGCCAGGCGCATAGTGTTTCAAAAACACATCTTGTTTTTTTTTTAATTTGAGACTTCAAGATAAAAATGATTACATCTGTGGGTACGCGGGTGATCGTTGTATTGACATGCCACTCTTCCAGTAAACTCTTAAATTGAAGTATAAATGTCAAAACTGGTCTTTTACTTATTACACAAAAAGAATGAAAAATTTTAAATCATCTAAAATAAAACTGACACTGAAGAATCCAAAAATAACAGATCGGGGCCTTATCGAATGAAGTGGATATACATGTGTAGGGGGGTTTATGAACATTTATGCCCATCTTCCTGATACTCGCACTAAAGGTTGCTCTGTTTGATGTAATATTGCACTATCTGATACCAACACAACACCGTTTGAAGTTGAAAAAGGTCATTTATTATCAAATGACAATTTTGTAAAACTATTACAAAAATGAAAATGTAGTTTGATAGATTTACATTTATAAACCTTGCAGTGATACCAATATCACTACATGCAACTTCCAAATAGATCAAAACATTACTGTATAAAATGTTTACATCAAAGGTGGGGTAAGGTAAAAATGCCTTACCTACTGAAAAAGAAATATGGAAAAATATTGTCAAATTATTCACATCAATTAAGAACACTATAAATTTTTAACTATTAGGGAGAGGTGGGAGGGTTGTTCAAAAATAAAATTGTATTTCCATACAAATATGGCGCCGCCACTGCTTGAACTCAATCTGATACTGATATGTTCCAAAAACAAGACCGCACAAAAGTATTAGAGTTATCTCGCTTGTCCCACTTTCAATACACAAGAAATGGGCATAAAATTATTTATGAACATAAATAGCATTTATGCCCATCTTCCTGATACTCGCACTAAAGGTTGCTCTGTTTGATGTAATATTGCACTATCTGATACCAACACAACACCGTTTGAAGTTGAAAAAGGTCATTTATTATCAAATGACAATTTTGTAAAACTATTACAAAAATGAAAATGTAGTTTGATAGATTTACATTTATAAACCTTGCAGTGATACCAATATCACTACATGCAACTTCCAAATAGATCAAAACATTACTGTATAAAATGTTTACATCAAAGGTGGGGTAAGGTAAAAATGCCACTTACTGCCAATGACAGGCAGATGTGAACTGTCATCAGCAGTAATCCCCACCCAACCCTAGTGCGAGTTTTAATCTTACTACAATAGACGTATCCCTAAAATTCATACAAACTGGATACAGTCCATGAAAAATAACACATTACCAACATACAAAGAAACTATTTCAACTCTTGTAAAACAATACCATATTATTATGCATTGTACACAAACTTTGTTAGATGCATAATTACATCAAAACTTTACTACTTCTTGATACAACCAGATGCTCCTGTCATCATGGTTGAAAATGTTTTTTCAAAGCCAATGTCCTCTTTCCTGAAACAGATAATGTGTCAAACTTGTTCACATATTTTGACAATTGTCCAAACCCTCATATTCTCTATTACTGGTTTGATATTTATTTTACAATCAGATGCTCTTGTCACCATGATTGGGTATAATTTGTGACACCAGTAATTAACACACTTGATTGACATCAACCAAATAAATTGCTCACTATTTTATAGGAACTCAACTCAAAGTAGATTTGAAATGTCATGAATTATAATCTGACCAGATGCTCTTGTCACCATGATTGGGTATAATTTTGTGACACCAGTAATTAAAACACTTGATTGCAATCAACCAAACAAGTTAACAAATTACTCACTTTTTTATAGGAACTCAACTCAAAGTAGATTTGAAATGTCATGAATTATAATCTGACCAGATGCTCTTGTCACCATGATTGGGTATAATTTTGTGACACCAGTAATTAAAACACTTGATTGCAATCAACCAAACAAGTTACATGTAACAAATTACTCACTATTTTATAGGAACTCAACTCAGAGTATATTTGAAATGTCATGAATTATAATCTGACCAGATGCTCTTGTCACCATGGTCATAAAATTTTGTGACACCAGTAATTAAAACACTTGATTGCAATCAACCAAACAAGTTACATGTAACAAATTACTCACTATTTTATAGGAACTCAACTCAGAGTAGATTTGAAATGTCATGAATTATAATCTGACCAGATGCTCTTGTCACCATGGTCATAAAATTTTGTGACACCAGTAATTAAAACACTTGATTGCAATCAACCAAACAAGTTACATGTAACAAATTACTCACTATTTTATAGGAACTCAACTCAGAGTAGATTTGAAATGTCATGAATTATAATCTGACCAGATGCTCCTGTCACCATGGTCATAACTCATTACCTCAACCTCACCTCGTGGGCAGTCAAAGGTTTACAAAGGGGATTCGAATGTACTTTTTGAAAGCGTCTGATGACCACCGCCCCATTGCTTTAATTTTTTGCTCTAGAACTCCATTGGAAAAAGCCGTTGTGGCTGCTCTGATGTCAAAAGCTGGGACCTTTATATCATTTACAATCTAACCCACACTAATTTAATGACAAACATAACTGATCTGTACAATATTTCCGTGACACCGGTGACCCATCCATGAAAGTAAAAAGAGGACCAGAAGTTGGTTTTTGTAATTGAAAATATGTCCATAGGGACTTAACAGGACATATTGTGTTATCTTTGCTGTCATTTTCCACATGCAAAGTGTAAGATTGACCTTTACCATATTTGAAAGATTTCATAGTCAACTCAAACCCTATTGGGCAGTCTGAAGTATTATCTAAAAAATGTACAGATTGTACTGTCAATAAATGACAATTTCTGTCTTTTGAAGCTGTAAATTCTCCAATCCTAAGAAAATAATGAAATGCCACTAAATACACACTTTTCATAAGTACCTGTACAAAATATAAACTTGTTGTATATTATAAAGAAGCTATCAGCTGTTTAAGAATGATTTGTGTTATAGGTAACCTAGAGTCCACTAAGCTTGTCTTATTCTTGTAACCTTGTAGACATTTTTTCACTAAAAGTTGGGCCTTTCATATTCCTTATCTTATGTTGAATACTAAACATAGGTTGCCAGTACAATAAGCTATAAACAAAATGATATATTCTGCTTTTGCTGGTACACCTTTCCTTGGCAAAGCAAAATGATGACACCAAACGATGGTAATATTCAATTGCCCTTTGATAAGTATTATGAGTTGGTGGTGCTAATGACTGATTTATTAGGTCTGAAGCTATTGATTCTAAACTTTGAGATTGTCCTCATTGTTAAGGCATGCTACAGGGTTGTTGTGGGAAAAATTTTGTAGGGACTGTGGAATCTGCTGGCGAGAAAGATGATCAGCTAAATCATTATCTAACCCGGTACATGTCTTCCTTGAAATAAAATATTGTGTTTTAAACATTGCACTACGAAACGACAAACAAGAACCATGATTGACTTAGGTTTGTTTGTTGATGATGTGCATAACAGCATCATTATCCGTGAAAAAAATTTAATAATAATACATCGATTTTCTAACTGATCTGCCCAAAGCTGAACTGCAAGTACACTGGGAAATAACTCCTTTTATTGTAATATGATAGGTTTTCCAGGTTTTAGGCCATATACCACTAACATACTGATTTCGTAAATAACCACAGAAACCAATGTTACTTGCATCCGTATACAACTGTAATGAGTCAGAATTGTCCCATTGCTCTGATGAAAACAGTGACTTGCCATTGAAATGCTCCAAAAATAAACCCCAAGCATTTAAATCCACTCGAGCTTCCTTATTCAATCTCCTATGATTAAAAGGTTGAGTTAACTCAATTGACAGATCAATTAGCCGCCTAGGAAATGGGCGTCCTGGAATGACCACTGAACAGGCTAAGTTTAACAGACCTATTACAGACTGTAACTCTAGTAATGTTATAGATTTTTTAGACTTGTGAATTTGTATTAGGTGTCTAGCTTTTGTTATCTTGTCTTGTGGTAAACATGAATCCATTAAAATAGAATCCAACTCAATACCCAAAAACATAAGCGAAGTGCAGGGAAGGACAGTTTTTAACTCCTTAATTGGAATACCAATATCCTTGAACAAAAACATGAACTAGTCTCCCATGTAAGCCTAACTTGTTTTCACATACCAATGTACTGAAGAAAAACTAAGTCACATAGGGAGAGTTTTGTCAAAATAGTATTCATTGTCTAAAGTAAAACCCAACAATTCCCAATCTGAACAATGTATTGGAATGATTTTATATGCATTCTGAATATCCAATTTAAACAACCCAAAATTTTCCCCCTATATGCGCATTAAACCTACTGCATCTTCTACCCCCTGATATTGAACAGATTTGAATTTAATATGAATACCAGAAACCCAGAATTTAGACCTACTTTGGATTTACCCAAACTGATAGCCAATGCCTCACTATGGATTTCTGAATTTAATGTTTGCTTTTTGGGCTTGATTTCACACTCCCCTAGCCTTCTAAGTTTTCACTGATTTCAAAGCCTTTATAATTATTCTTATTTTTGATCCCTAACAAATTTTCAAATCAACAAATTAATTTCCCCAGATTTTGCTTTTTATCTTAGAATCTACACCGAGACCCAATGGCCCAATAATACTGGGATTCTTAACCCCTGCACTAAGTGATAACTCCTTAGATGCTGTTTGTTAATTATTAGTACCTGAATTACTTGGTAAAATTGCCATCTTCTAATTGGCTTGAATGATTGTTGCTTGTTGGAGTGTCACTTGCGACTTCCTCTTGTTGTAAATTAACTGGCTTTGTAACCACCCCCATAGTCTGTAGGCCTATAACCGGTACTCATCTCTGTAAATGGATGTTAGCATGTACATGATGTATGCCTAATTTATACAAATCATGTCAAGAATTCAACCTATCTATGACTGATAAAATTATCAGCTTTTGATTAATGTAACAAAATTATTGTTGATTTACTCATCCAAATATTAGCCCATATCAGGCAATAGGATAAAATTACCCATTAGACCTGACTCTAGGGTAGTTCTTTATACAAATTATTGTTTATATCTTAAAATAATCTGTATAATTACAGTGCACTAGTGAAATATAGCTACACAATGTATCAAGAAACCATTGAGAAAATCACTAATTAATTCACTATCCCTAGTGAAGCATAGCGATAGAATTATCGCATTTGTAACTTGATAAAATTAACAAGATTCAGCACTAATGAAGACGTGATAAAATTATCACTAACTGCAATAGAATTATCGCATTTATAACTTGATAGAATTATCAAGATTCAGCACTGATCAAGACGTGATAAAATTATCACTAATTGTAAAGCATAGCGATAGAATTATCGCATTTGTAACTTGATAGAATTATCAAGATTCAGCACTAATGAAGACGTGATAAAATTATCACTAATTGTAAAGCCTAGCGATAGAATTATCGCATTTGTAACTTGATAGAATTATCAAGATTCAGCACTAATGAGGCCAAAAATAAAAATAGTCTTGTTTCCTGCTACCCGACCTACCCTATTTTTTTGCACCCGACCCTAAAGTTTTTTTTAGCTTTTGGGGAAAAAAATGGAAATTGCAGGAATTTTATGATCCAAAAGTGAAAAAAATATATATATTAAAACTGTATTTCATGAAATATATGTTTAAAATATGTTCTTTTATAACATTCCACTTGAGTTGTGCATCAAAAGACATGAAATTTCTTTTCAAAAGATAATATTGACCTAGTTATGACGTTTTATTTGGTTTTGTAGTAGTTCATATCCAAAAAATACCTTTGGAAAAAATAAAATAAATTAAAAAAATAAAATAATTTTCCTACCTACCGACCCTATTTTTTTCAGGCTGGTAGCAGGAAACAAGACTATTATTTTTTTTGGCCTGAAGACGTGATAAAATTATCACTAATTGCGATAGAATTATCGCATTTATAACTTGATAGAATTATCAAGGTTCAGCACTGATCAAGATGTGATAAAATTATCACTTATTGTAAAGCATAGCGATAGAATTATCGCATTTGTAACTTGATAAAATTATCAAGATTCAGCAATACATTAAAACACCACTAATTGTTCAGTAATGTGGCAAAATTACCACCTATACTTGAACATGTGGCAAATTATCACAGGCTCTTCTGCAACTCACGCAGTAGAAAAAAGTTTCCAGACTTACTGTTCCCAGTAAAAATAAATGCTTGATCACAAGGGTCCCTTGCTGTATTTCCCACTCTTGGACTGGCTTTCTACAATGCATCTTATATGTGATTAAACTAGTGATGGAACGATTGTCGCCGACAATCGATTGTCGGTCGTTAGAAGCTCTTCGATGCTACTAATCGATTATAAAATAAATGTCGCCGACATCGCTAACAAAAAATAAAATTGTCATACTTTAATTTTATTACCAAATCCAAGTGCAAAGAGCATAAAAGTAGTGATGAACGTTGAAAAAATGGAAGGATTCCGTGTCTTGTTGATACTTTTACCGCCATGATTAAATATGTGGTTAGACTAATACCAGGAAACGGTAATATTGCAAGGTTTTACTATACAAAGGAAAACATAATTAGCCTAGGCAATCTTTAAACGTTATTATTATTATAAATACAAGTCTAACTTCTGAATAATTACTTTTAAAACTTGCAATTTCAACTAATTAAAACTAATTTTAAGAAATAAATACATGTATTAAATGAAAGGTGGGACTAATATCAGTAAAATACCCATTGCATGGACTCTGTAAAAAAAATAAATCCCCATTCTGTTTCAATAGTCCTATATTGTTTAGAGTAAACAAAATATTATTTGCCACTTTTTAAAAAAGAAATTTCAATTAACATTTTGAATATTTTATGTAAGTAAATTTTTTTTTGTAAAAGTCTGACAGAAATCTGAATAAGTTTTAACTTTTCTATATTAATTTCACTAAAATTCAAAATTTCGATTATAATCGATTATTAATCGATTATGCCCAGCCGATTATTACCGATAATCGATTCTGATTTTTTCCAATTCCCCATCACTAGCAGGGTTCGAAATTAGCGAGAAATACTCGCAAAATGCGAGTTGATTTTTAAAACAGCGAGTAAAAATAGAAGACACTCGAAATTTTTAGCGAGTGGTGATTTTTGACCCAAGTAGTCTTGTATCCATATTTTTCTGGTAATTCGTCTTGCTTTTTTGAAATTTGAAAAGAGTCACAATGCATTCGCCTGATTCGGTAAACCTCGGCTGATTCTGTCACCATTTCCCAATCAGCTGATGCAATTTATACAAAAATGTTTCATTGTAGTTTTATTTGACGTCAAAATTTACCTTAGATAAAAAGAGTAATCATTAGTTTTACACCAAATAATTTCTCCCATTACTTTTCGAAGATCGTTTTCTGTAGCTAGACAGCCATGTTAGGTGCCCGCTGTAAATATCACACCTGGTTAATTATGCCCAGGATGTTTGACCCCATTATTCAGTAGCCAAAAATCCCAACCTACCTACCCTTGATCATATTGATTTTCTCTTTTGGAATGTTACAGGAATTACAGGAAATAAATATATTTTAATTTTGTTTGTGTGTGTTTGTTTTTTTTTTTAGGCCAGATTACCTTTTTTTTTAATGTAAAAACATTGATGTTCTTAATTCTGTACTGACCTACTATAGAAGGACCTGTATTATTCTTGATTTAAATGAGCATGAAAAAGACATTTAAACCTTCTTTTAATTTTAGCTTGTTGATCTTCATTTTAGCCTGTAGATTTTATATGTACAGGCTAAAATTAGCCTGTGGTTAAAAAAGTTAATTTCGATCCCTGACTAGATTAAACAGAAAACTGCTGAAAGTATAACATTGTGTCATATATGCATAATAAGCTTCTTTTTTTTTTTTTTTTAATCATTAATACCCGTTTTGTAAGCTGTTCTAAGTTACAAAGGTACTAAGGCTAAGGTACATATACATGTAATGCCTCTTTTATAAACTTAAGATGCAAATTAACTATAATTGTTATATGGTTAAATGACAAAAAAAATTATCTAGCTATCACTTGTACTATGTATCACAGCACCCCTGATTGCCCTGTAATATTTCACATTGCCAATATGGTTCATGTGAACACCATCACAAAAGTTATTCACTACAGAGTTCTTCAAGCCCTTCAACTTCCAGTACACAACATGCCTTCTGTTTTTAACTTCTTTTAAAAGTTGATTTGCCAAGACTATTAACTTATTATATAAAACAACTCGGCAGTGTCTGGTGGAATATTTTGGTAACAACTGACATACATATATCTTATTTAAACGATACCGGTTTAAGAACAAGTCTCATGTCGCCATTATTTTTGACACAATCACCCTAACCGAGTCCTCATCAGCCTGCGGCTGGGCGATATCGTTTCCCGCAATATGTAAATTTAGCTTCTGTGGTCGGTTCCTTTGAATCTCTAATGTCCATACTTCGACCTATTCTGCCCCTACTAATCCCAATGATCGAAATCGCTACATTTTGTACATTAAATATAACGTTAATTGTTTGAATGTTCACCGTCTCTAATTCCTCGCATAATGATATAAGCGTCGAATGTGTGAGTCACCTAATATTAATACAGACATCTTGACGAAGGAAGAACACAGTACAAAACAATGATCGTTGAGACAACACAGGTTACGAATGATGAAAAATCGGAACGCACGTAGGCCTTCCACGTGTGCCAGGAGCGAATTTCAAGTCTCGTCTTTTAACACTTACAAATGTGCTGAATTCCTTGGAAATCCAAAAGATCACACCACGAGAAGTCCATCAAATGTATTAACTGTGCACTGGACACGCTGTAGCCAACTTGCTTGTTCAAAAATAAAATTGTATTTCCATACAAATATGGCGCCGCCACTGCTTGAACTCAATCTGATACTGATATGTTCCAAAAACAAGACCGCACAAAAGTATTAGAGTTATCTCGCTTGTCCCACTTTCAATACACAAGAAATGGGCATAAAATTATTTATGAACATAAATAGCATATATAAATCTTGTCAACGTCAACTTTTAATATAGATTTATAAGATTTATTTCTCAATAAATGAATGTAAATGAAAAGAGATAAAGAAAATAAAACATGTTGAAGACTTCAGACAATACTGGCCTAATATTTTTCAACGTAAGGTGTGCGGCCTACATCAAAGCTGTATATAGTACATATACACTGTAAATGATTAAACTAGGACGCGTACGGCTGTCCCAGAAAAAAAAAAGATTTGATAAAACTTTCACACCAAAATCTAATTTCGTTAAAAAAAACAAAAGAAGTTATTTTTGCACATTGTGCCGTGTGGCAACAAATATTTCGCTATTTACCAATAACATGTAGTCCTTACCAATTTTATTTCCTGTTCGTTGGACATTCGATAAAGAAATACCAGCGGGCGGGCGACTCGATAATAATAATCTTTTCTTTTTTTTGTAGGCAAAACATTTATGCAAAACATAAAAAAAAACTGATTGGAAGTTGAGGCCTGTTCAAAAGAACGAATGTTCGCGAGCGCTCAACAAAATTCCTTATACATGTATCTCCAATAGAAATGTTTGCGAGCGCTCGGTCTGTTAAGGATATGCGATCCTCAGCCAGGAAGGATAACTCTTTAATTTATAATTTAATTCAAAAAGTATTAAAACAAGGTATGAAATTGAAATTTTTTCATGCAACAATTTTCATTTTATGCCTCTACGTATGATTCAATGCTCTTTAAAGTTTTAACAAACGGTATTTAAAAAGTTGACATTTGTACCTCATAAAATGAAGTAAAACTTGCATATTTAAAAAAAATCAAATTTCTTTTAATTTAGCCTTAGTTACCAATGTTTATATGCATGATTTGAAATTAGAAGTGATTCACAGTGTTTTCTTTGAAAGGAAACACTTCATACACTATGCATTATGAAACAATGGAAGTAAGTAGGAGAGAGTAAAGTCCAAATAATTGTAAAATTCATGCAATTTTCTTTAAAAGCCTGGATACCTATGATTTTTATTCCTAGAATGTACTTCTTGATCAATTATCAATTAAAAAATATGCAGTAGGTAGTTCAAATCGCATTTCCTGAAAAATTATTCGACATTTACGAATTTTCCCCATATAATATGATTAAATTTAAAGATGAATTTTAAAGAAACACCTTGGGTAAATACATTTTAATTTAAGAATTTAGAGACATCTTTGTGAGCATTTTCAATTACTCAATGCCTGATTTTCAGAACCTGAGGATCGGATAACCTTAAACGGGCCTTGGGTTTAGGACAGACAGAATTTCCCCGGTGCGGGAAATTTAAATTAATTAATTTGGCCTTAATATGCGCATGACAATTTTTAGCTCACCTCAACGAAGTTGGGGGAGCTTATGTTATGTAGTACCGTCGGCGTCCCATGTTAAGGTTAAGTTTTCTTGGAGCAGTTTTCTTTCTAAGTACTTCTATGTCCTATATTGATTAGACATGCATGGAGGATGTTTCTAGTGTGTTTCATTGTACCAGTCAAAGTTTCAGATGCTGCAATTTTGAACAGCAAGGTAATGACAAGGTTAATGTTTTTGGAGCAGGTTAACATTTTTGGTGCAGTTTTTGATGTAGGTCTCATTTCCGAGTAACTATAAGCCATATGTTGACCAAACTTGCATGGATGTTACATCTTAGGATGCACATAACCAGGTTTGCTTCGGATGCTGAATCTGACCTACATTTTCCGCATGAGTGAACAGGTTTATGTTTTTGGTGCAGGTCTCATTTCCAAGTAACTATGAGCACTATAGTGACCAAACTTGCATGGATGATACATCTAAGGATGCATACTACTAGGCTGGCTTCGGATGCTGAATCTGACCTACATTTTCTGGATGAGTGAAAAGGGTAGTTTTTTTTTTTATACAGGTTTCATTTCCAATTAACTATGAGACCTATAATGAGCAAACTTTCATGAATGATACATCTTAGGATGCACACTAATGGACTTGCTTCAGATGCTGAATTAGACATACATTTTCCAGATAATGGACCTCGTAAAAGTTATGGATGCAGGTCTATTACCAAGAAACTATAAGGCTTATTTAAACCAAACTTGCACCAATGGCGCATCAAGGGATGAACACTCTCAAACTTGCTTAAATTCAGATGCTGGATTTTGATTACGTTTTCATGATGAAGAACTAGTTTGAAGTTCTTATATAAGTCTATTCCAAAGTATCAAATCAAAATTGCATAAATTTTGCATTTTTGGATGTACACTTTTGTGGGTAATTGTGTGACTTTGCCTTACTTAAATACAACATTCGTTGAGTTGAGCTCTGTAATCTCTGATTACCTATTTTTTTTTTAACTGCAGAACAGTAGCGTTATGGTTTTATATTTACTAGCCTTTGACATTATACTTGTGCAAAGACAAAAATATATAATATAACACTACAATTCTGCAGCTACATAGGATTTTTGAGCTGTAATAAATGTTTTTGTCCATTTTTGTGTGTGTGAGTTTTAAAAACTTGTAATTTAAAGGAAAAATTGTATTTACGAGGGTCATTCAAAAAATACGTAAACAATGTTACTCATCGTCACATTATTATTACAAAATGAACACATTTTCGTAAATAAAAACATTTATTTTGTCGAAGTGTGAAGTTTCATTCCATTTGATTAAATATAACTCAAATAAGCCAATTCTTAAAGCAGCATTGTTTGTTACCTCGGAGCACGGTTAACTAACATTGTAACGTCAAAAACAACGTGGGGAAAGTTTCTAAAATAATTTCATACCCGGTTTCGAAGCGTCTTCTCCATTCATAAAAACGTATCCATAACACTTTTAAAACATCTAGTTTGCTAACAATTGTGCAAATAGCTTGAACTAGGTTGTCAGTGTTTTCAAATTCTTTACCGCGTACTTGTATCTCTATTAGTTCCGCAACAGTGAAACCACAGGAGTTCGCGTACCTATCAATTTTGCCGAAATTTTCGATAAATAAAAAAAATACCGTAATACCTACATGTATAATAATAACACAAGGAGTGCAACCGTTGTCCGCGACGCCATGACGTGACGTCACGGGCGGTCCACTTACCCAAAAGGAACAAAAAAAAGCAATCATACACAATTAACTAGAGATAATGATATTACGCTTAGATACGAGTACAAGTACTTGTACCTCCCCGTTTTAAATTTTCTTGAATGTCTACTAACTTGTCTCTGGTTTCTTTTCGCATATGACCCCAATCATCTAGATTAGCATTTCAGGCAGTTTTGTTCCTTTTTGGGTAAATGGACGCGCCCGTGACGTTACGTCAAGGCGTCGCGGACAACGGATATTTGAGCGAAGTTGTGGATAAATGTCACCGCTGCTGCTGTAAAACATGCGTTTGAAATCATATGCATTAAGAGCCATAATTAGTGGTCCCTTCCAAAAAGTCTGGTTTGTGTTTTATAATTTTCGATTGAAGATTAATTGTGCGACAGCCATGATATTAAGCGAAGGGTTCCCAGGTGACCAAAAATGCGTTGCACTCCTTGTGTTATTATTATACGTATTACGTATTTTTTTTTTTATTAAATGAAAATTTCGGTATAATTGATAGGTACGCGAACTCCTGTGGTGAAACGCAGATCACGTTGTTTAATGACGTTCTTCTCTTTTGATAAGATTTTTAACTATTACATGTTTCTTTGCAGACAATCCATCGTTCGATTCAAACTCGCTACCACTCAGAACTTGTATTTTCCATATTATACAAATACACGGCTTATTAAGGTCTTACGTTTCCAACGGAAGACCTTCTACTGATTCTGATGGTAAAAATTATTAGAGCGTCTGCTCTAGAGTCGCGAAGTAAGAAGTTAATCCTTACGTCGCGGGTTCGAATCCCACTGTGGGACGTGGAAACCGGTCCTTCGGATGAGAAAACCGAGGCCCCGTGTCGCAGTAGGTGCTGGCACGAAAAAGATCCCTCACTGCTCAATGGCCCTGAGTGCCGAGCATAGGACAAAATTTGTAGCTCTCCACCGGCAAGTGGTGGCGTCCCCATATGAGTGAAAAATTCTCGAGAGGGACGATAAACAATATGCAATCAATCAATCAATTATTCTTTTTTTTCTTCTACTTCCTAGACCGCAACTTTGAGGCCTCATATCTCACTCATTTCTCAACGGATTTCGCTCAAATTTTCAGAGGTTATAGACGTTTATAAACTCTCAGAATGCAGACTAAAATTTCAAGAAGTTACTTCTGGTTTTGAGTTATTTCCCTTTAAACGAAAATTTATAGGCTTTCATTTCCAGACAAAGGCTCAGAGACGGCTAAAGCTGGAGCAGAAATTCTACTGATTTTAGATAATAGAAGGATTAAAGTTGTGCACATCGGTTTTTTCGATTCTCTATTCAAAATGGCGCTATATAGGGGTCAAAAATTAGAACGCTTAAAAGAACCAAAAATTACTCATATTTTCTTTTTATCTTCTAAACTAAAAATATTTTAATCAAACATATATAACATAATTTGTGCAGAATTAGAAGATCTTTCAAATGATATGTCGGAAAAAGGGCTGACCCCTAAATTAAGGGATTTAGAGGGGCCAAAAGTTTTTTGAAGATATCTTAAAAAGTATTGAAAATTTGTTATACATCAAAGTAGCAAAGTTGTTGAAAATGCCAAGCCTAATTATATGTAGTCGTCAAAATACGTCCAGCGTCGTCACTTCCGGCCAACCGGAAGTAGTCGGAAAACGCGTATTTTTGCCGTTTATGACAAGTTTTTGGGTAACATATGTCTCTGGGAGCTTAAAAATTAATTTTCCATGCGTCGTCGTCACTTCCGGTCAAACCGGAAGTAGCAAAAATGGCTTATTTTTGCATTACTTAACATAGCTTTAGAGGATTCAAAGCATTTTTGGGCGTTATTTCTCATTTTTGTGAAAAATGAAAGCTACTTCCGGTCAAATAGGACGGAAGACCTATTCGTTGCTTTGCAACGAGCTTT